TTTTTTTTTTTTTTTTAATTTCTCAAGTGGGACCCCATAATCCTCTTATTTATACCACTGCCTACTACCTACAAAAAAGCCACAAACGAAAAGATAAAAAAGATTAAATCAGCTACTAGCAATACTACAGTAGCTAGCTACACTGGTTGGTAGTGATCTTTTGTTCCTTGTTCACCATATGGCTCTCCTTGTTATTCTCATCTTGCTTTTCTTGTACCCTTTGGGGAACAATGGTGAGGGCCCACCTTCACCCGGATACTACCCGAGCTACACAATGGGTTCCATAGGGTTTGATCAAGGGTTCACAAATTTGTGGGGTCCACAGCACCAAAGGCTCGACCAAGAGGAACTAACCATTTGGCTCGACAAAACCTCAGGTACTCATCATTATGCATTGTACGTACTGGCCTCATCACTTATGTGTATCGCACCTTTTTGCGAATACAATTTCCTAGTCGTTGGGTTCAATGTCGCAACATTAATTGTCCTTTTCTTTAAAATTAATTCATTGACTATTTTTAGTTCCGTGGAAAAATATCGAACGATATGTTACATATGTTGTTGTCTTTCTTTGCAATAATTTCTACTCTTTAGACGACCGCCGTAAACAACTGTGCCATAGAAATATTAATTGTCTCATATTTTTCTAATAAAAATGGTATAATATTACATTTTTTAAACAAAAGTATGACTGACTGACTGGCGGATAGACTAACCTAACAGTAGTAATATTGGTGATAAACATCAACTTATATTTATCATGCGCTTTTTCGGTTTGTTTGCAGGCAGTGGATTTAAGTCGTTGAATTCTTATTCTTCTGGTTATTTCGGTGCGTCAATGAAGGTTCACCCTGGTTACACTGCCGGAGTCGACACATCGCTTTATGTGAGAGTACTCTTCAAAGTTGATTGGTGTTCTATTAGTTACATAAATAGCGCATATTATATTACATATGTTTGAAAATTATGAATGTCTCTATATCGGCAGCTATCGAACAATGAAGCCCATCCAGGTGATCATGATGAGATAGACATAGAGCTTTTGGGCAACATAAATGGGCAGCCTTATGTTCTTCAAACAAATGTCTACATTAAGGGCAGTGGAGATGGCAACGTTATAGGACGAGAAATGAAATTTCACCTTTGGTTTGATCCCACGCAGGATTTTCACCATTATGCGATCCTCTGGAATCCCAATCAGATCATGTAAGTGTCTCAATCAAACTAATATATATTATGTACAAAATTATTAAAGTTTATTATAATTCTTATTTACTTGTCTTATATATACATGTAAGAGAATTTATATGCATATAAATTAGGCAGTACGTACGAACGTATATATCATAGGGTACGTACGTATATATTAGGCAGTCTGCGTAGTATTAATACTATTGTCAAATAGAATAATAACATTACATAATGATCACATATTATATTTACGGCAAAATTGTATTTTTAGTCCTGTTGATTTGACGCTGTAGCATTTTTAGTCCCAAAATTTCAACTTTTTGTTTTTTTAACATGTAATTTAGTTTTTTGCTGCAATTTCAGTCCTTTGGTACTGAAATTGCAACAAACTTTAAAATTGCAGGACTTAAATTGCTAATAAAAAATTCATCCAAAGATTTTTTATTAGTAATTCAAGTTCGGTAATTTTAATATTTGTTGCATTTTCAGTCCCAAAAGACTGAAATTGTAATATTATAAGACAAAATAGTAACAATGTTCAATTTTTAGGGCTAAAAACATCACTAGATCAAGATTAAAGTTACAATTTCGTCTTTTATTTACTAAAATATCATTTTTATTAAAAGAAAAGAAAAAGAAAATACTGAGGCCGTGGTCCCGCCTTGGTTTCAAGAGGTTTTTTGGTTTTGTGCCCCTCTTTGGAAGTAGTTAGAGTTTAGGTACACCATGCATTTTGGGCCTTAAATACCATTTTCGTATTTTGTTTTATTATTTTTCATTTTATGAAAATAACAACACTAAACAATCATAAAAGTAAAAGACTAACTGAGAATATTATTTATTAAAAAGTTGTACATATGTCCATTTTTCATGTTGTTTGATTCAAATAAATAAAAACAAATAAATAAATCTCTAATTCCCCTTATATATATATTAGAGTATGTTGAACATAAGTGGAAGGATTTCATACTTTGAAATTCTATGTGGAACAATGAACTCAGTTGCATCGTACTATTTTTTTTTTTATGGCTGAACTTCGTTAGATGTAATTGACCTCCCGTCTGAAAAGGCTTTTGATTGCCTAAGCAATTAGTTTTGCTAAGCTGAAAAGTAACATGTATAAATGAATAGTAGGAAGGTGCCGCTCTCAGAAGCGCGAGAAATAAACAAGTTTTCATGCTTTGTCACTTAACTTTGATGAATTTTAGTCTCAATTAAAAAATAATTAGGCGCCATAAATATACTAGATATTTATAGTCATTTTTTAGAGCATTAATATTACATTTTCTATTATAGACGTGATTTATAAGGCATAATTTTTTTCCTCAATCATTATTTTTGTCCTCATCTTTCTTCCAAAGTTATGATAAAAATTACTAATTTTAATTATAAGTATATTTAAAATTTAATTTTTTTATTTATGAATAAATTTTTATACATAATACATCAAATTTATCATGTCTTAATGAGTCTCGATATGACATCTATATTATACATGCAAAATAAGTAAATAAATATTTTTATCTTTATAATAAAAATAAATTACCTATTAATATCAATTAAAAAAATATTTAATCAGTTTAACTACAAAATTGTTAAATAATGTAATTTAAAAAATATTATAATAAAAAAGGGTAAGCCGTATAAGTGATGTATGTTATTTTAAATATAAATAATAATATAGTTATTCAAAAAAGTATTTGAAAATTAAAACAGTATTTTTATTATTAATTTATTTTTAAATATAATTTTTAACAAACACTCATGTCGTGTAATAATCCAGCGACTACAGTTTATCTTACTTTAAAAGACTAACAGGAAAAAAAGAATAACAAGAAAAACAAAATCTGATTATCATTTCTAAATGAACAAAAAAGAGCAATAATCCTGGACCCTACGTATATAATAAAATGAGGTTTTCTTCCAACTGGGCTTTTCATATCCCCTTACGTATACCTAATTGGGCCCTACCACATGATATGAACCACAGATTTTTTGTAGACGATGTGCCAATCAGAACGTATCCTAGAAAAGATGAGGCACCATTCCCTACAAGGCCCATGTGGGTTTATGGATCCATATGGGATGCCTCTGATTGGGCCACAGAGAATGGAAAATACAGAGCAGACTACAGTTACCAGCCTTTTATTGGCAAGTTCAAGAATTTCAAGATAAGCGGCTGTGACGCCGGTGCAGCCGCCTGCCGGCCGGCCACCGGCTCCCCTTCCGGGGCAACAGGGCTGAGCCGCCAGCAGTATGCGGCAATGGCTTGGGCCCAGAATAATTACATGATCTATGATTATTGTGGTGATCCACAACGTGACCACAAACTCACACCTGAGTGTTAGGCCCAGTGGTTATTGGGTCGGGATACTTGAAAAATACATTTTTATGTTATTGTTTGGAGAGTCTTGGGATGGGCCCACCCATCATGGGTGTAAGAAGAGTGTGGAAGTGAAAGCGTCCAAACCTCCAAAGATTTGGAAGTTTAAT